GGGTGTGGGGGAGGGGAGGGACGAGGGTCTGGGCGCTGAGTGGATTCAGGCGGCCAGGATGGGAGGGTTGCCCTCAAGGATGAGGGCCACTGCAGGCATGCCACCAAGCCTGGCGCCGGTCCCTGCCGTCAACGACACAGACAGATCCTCATGAAGCCATTCCAGGGTGCCTGACCTCCAAAGCTGCCCCACCTGCCCTCCATGTCGTCCACGATGAGGCGCAGTGCCCGGGCGTCCAGTACCTGCTCGAGGGGGACCCCCTTCCGCACCATCTTCTTGTAAGTAGAGTACAGGCTCTTCACTCGGCCCTGCATTGGGATATCAGGGGGGAGGGGGAGGGCGCTGAGCTCAGGGCCGAAAGTATCTGAGCGCGGGCAACAAAGCTCCACAGTCACAGCCTTCTCCTGCTTGGGAATGCACTGCGAAGCAGGGGACCGCAATGGACCCCTTGCCCTGGAATCCCGATAGGGGCGTGGCCTCACCTCCACGACCACCTCCAGGCCCAGGGCTGTGCCCTCGGTCTCCATCTCCTGCAGGACCTGCCGGGCACAGGCCTGCAGGACCTCCAGAGCGTGGCCCACCCTGTGTAGATACCAGAAGAGCCAGGGGGAGGGAAGGGCATGACGAGGGAGGTGCTGGAGGGATGGCTGATCGTTCCTTCACTCGAGACCATCTTGTGCTCGCTGAACAGCACCCAGGAGGAACGGAATCCCAATGATTAGTTTGCCTGGCGTCACAGTGCACTGCACTTTCCGCCTCTCAATCAAGAAAACAAAACTAACAACCCACGCACCCTGGCCTCTGCTGCAAGCAGCTCATGTTGAGCGTGGAGGCATCGAATGGCAGCACGCTCTCGATCCGGGACATGGTCTGAGGAAGGTCGGGAATGAGGCATGAGGCAGCAGGCAGGCGTTTGGCGTGGACCTGCACGAACACACCCCGGCCTGCAGGCACCGACCACCCTCTGAGGCATGCAGACAGCAGCTGGGTCGCCTCAGCACCACGTGCCCACCTGTCGCTGTGTTGGGCTCAGCCAGGGCATGGGGCTGGGCGTGCGTGTTCCGGCTACGGGCCGCCGCCTGGTCTGAGACGGGTCCTGCGTTGGATCGAGGGGCGCTGGGATGCGCTCAGAGCCAGCCAGGATGGGGACTGGCAGGGGCGGCGTGCGATCTGACGAGTCAGCTGCCAGACCTTGGGGGACCCCAGGAGGGGCGAGGATGCAGGTGGGGAGATCCTCGGGCTGCACATCAGCCCCCCTCACGCCTCCCGCCCACCTGGTCGGGGCTCAAGGCGTCGCGGCGGGCATCCAGCGGGGCCCAGGCAGCCCCCAGGCTTTCCTGGACCGCTGAAAAGTCCAGGGGCTGGAGCACAGCAAAGCAGAGGTCCTCCAGCTCGCCCTGAAAGGAGGGTCGACAGGGTACAGGTGCGTGTGAGTGGGGCCCCGGAAGCCTTGCTCCCGGTTCATGCCAGGCTTGGCAATCACGAAGCGCAGCACCAGGCCCGCCTGGTGAGTTGGTGCCGCTCGCGACGCTCACACACCTTGATGGCAAACAGGCCCAAACGCTCGGCCAGGGTGCACCAGACTCGCAGCGTTTCCTGAGCGACGGCGCGCTGCTTGTCGGGCGACAGGGCGTACCTGGATGTGATGGATGAGGGCAAGGATCAGAGTCTGCACAGACAACGTCACAGGCCAGCTGTGTGAGCACCGATGATAGCATCGGCAGGCGCGAGCCTGCCCTGCCCACCAAACCGCCCAGGCCAGCCAGCAACTCACACGGTGCGCATGTTGTGCAGCCGGTCGGACAGCTTGACCAGGATGACCAGGGGCTCTGCCACCATGGTCAAGATCATTCGCCGGAGCGCCGCGCTCTCCTCGTAGCTGGCGGCCTTGGCCTGGGGAAGGGGGAAGGGGGGGGGGGGGAGGTGTATGCCCCTCGTAGGAGATGCGCCTGGTATGAAAGGCAGGCCAGACTGGGGTGCCAGCAACCGGCTGGAGCCCCCTCCCGTCCCAAATGACAAATGCACGCAACAATTTTCCCTGGCTGCAAGGCCCCATGCCCAGGCATGCCACCAGCTGCCCATCCTCCGGGCAGCTCACCGACAGCCGTAGTCGCCGACGGACAAGTTGGTGTGTGGCGCTGAGCTGGCTCACCATGCTGACAATGGAGGCGACCTGGCGGTGTGGCAGGAGGGATGGGTGTGCCAGCCTTTTCGGGAGCCGTCGATCGACGTCAGGGGCACAGCTCGCCCACCGCCCTGCATGCACCACCACCGCCACCCACTTTCGGCCCCGCGACCCCCTGAATATCGCTCAGGGTCATAGATGTGTCATCGATGACGTCATGGAGCACCGCTGCCGCCACACCATCCTCAGCTCTGTGGGAGGGGTAGGGCCGGGCACCGAGTGCTGGGAGTGATGATCGTGCAACACAGCTGGCAGACTCGCTCACGCCAGGGACGACAGCATCCGCGCCGCAGCAGGCCGGACAGCCACACAAACATGACAGTGAATCGATACAGTTGGCCCCTCCACACTCTCACCTGGCATCTGGCTCGGAGGGGCAGAGCAATGCCTCCATGATGCGGGCCGTCTCGATGCAGTGGGTGATGTAGGGTTCTCGAGTCTTGCGCACCTGCGGCGATCGTTGCAGCAAAACAGGGCAGCTCATCTTCCAGCCGACCCCACACCTGGCACCACAGTGAGTGACATTCCCATCCAGCACCGATGCCAATTGCCAAACCCACACGCAGGGTGCACATCCACCTGTCCGGCATGGGCTTCTGCCGCAAGCTCTGCAGCTGCTTGGAACCTGGGTCTGTTGAGCAGCCGGCTGTCGCTGACATCCACTCCATACAGTAGCTCTGGGAACTGTATGCATGGAATGAGGACACAAAGAGGTTGAAAGCGGTGAAGCTCAGCCAACACAATTGGTGCGAATGGCCGAGCGCGAGGGAGACCTTGCACTCCTCCCCACCTTGCCTCACACACCTTAACATGTCCTCCGCCTCTCCTCTCCTCCCGCCTCTCAGCCAGCATTCGTGGCTTGGAGTTGAGGGCGATCGTGCCACCCACCCCGGCAGCGGCTGCGGCCGTGATCAGCGTCGCCATGGAGCCGAGGATGACGTTGACGGAGTGCTTGGCATGCTGCATCGTCTCAGTGGAGACCTCGCTGACTTGCGCTGCGGGTGGCAGTTGAGATGAGGGCGCTGGTGGCTCGTCATCTCCCTTACACCATGCCAAGACAGGGAGCATGGGATCCTAAAACCTGCAGGCTACGCACATCTGGGCCCCTAATACGATCCTGGAGAGCCTAAACACCACACAGTAAGCTCCAAATACCTATGAGTCGGCTGTGTTCTGCGATGAGCGGGAGAGCTCGGCAAACATGACGACCCCAAGCACGCCCTGCACACGACCCTTTTTCTGGCCATGGTGGAAGCGTCTCCCGCCCGGCATGGACACATAGAGGACTCATTATCAAGCGTGCATCATGTATCCACTGGCTGTGCCGGGGTCATGTTCCGCTCTGTCAATCATGGAGGACGCTCATGCGCGATGACCGGGAGTGCAGCCCATGCAGCTTGCTGTCTTCAGAAGAAGCTATGCACGACGATATTGTTCTCCATTACAAGCTATTCTGTATTGTTCACACGTTGAATGTGCTCTGGCATGCGTTTATCGCCCTAACTTTGGTGCGAAACTCCACCACAACTCCGAGATGCTGAGCGGATGGCGGGAGGAGCAGGATCCAAAAGATTTGTCCTTCGGTATGCATATCATAAATGATCGATTGACATGAGCAGGTGGAAGTTGATAGCACTGCGAGACCTGTGATTGGAACTTCAAGACTATCAAGTGCTCGTGTGAACCTGCGAAAGTTCTGTACCGGTGGGCTCGGGGACAGTTTGTCCAAAGTCTTCAACATCATGCAGAATCCTGGGGCAGTCATAGTTTTACAAGAATTGCTACTCGTCCCGGCAGCCATGCTGTCCAGATCTGACGCAACATTGTTCTATACTTGAATTTTGACTGGTTCGGGGGACCGTTTTGGGGTTCCACAATCAATCAGAATTGGGAGTGATCGGCAAACACTCGCATGGCTGCCTGGGATTTACCACTGAATACAGGCCACGTAGGTTTACAGACCATTGTGTGGGATCCACGAGCACTCCCTTCACCACAAGCACCTTGATTGAGAAAGAACTCTCGTATGGAGGTTTTTTGCATCCTATTTCGTGCCCACCTGTTGGATCCCCTCTGTGAGAGGAGAAGTAAGGGGCATGAGCAGGATCGAAATGGAAAGCGCGCAGCGCCGAGGATCCGCCCCACACACGAGGCCCGCGCGTCACGAAAAGTAACAAGAAGGGAGGACGGGCGCCAAAGTTTAAACTCGAAATCGCAGTCAAGGTCAGACCCCCTTTCAGGATGCCGGAATCCTCCAAAGCAAGCGTTCGCACCGCCCCTACGCACGCTCCGTTTCGAGACCTCGTGCTCAACGCGGTGCGGGGATTGAAGGAGCGCTCCGGCTCCTCCCTGTACGCTATCCGTAAGAAAGTTGCGGATGAGAACACCAGCCTGACGGGCACCTGGGAGAAGTCTGTGTCCCGTGCCATCAAGCAGTTGTCGGAGCAGGGGGTCCTGGTGCGCAACAAGGCATCCTTCAAGCTCGCACAGACCGCCAGGAAGCTGCAAGGACCTACCCCGGGGAAGAAGGTTAGGATTATCGTATACATATTGGACTTGGGGTTGATGAGACTGACCACTCCCTTTTCGTTCCATGGTAACAACGGATTCCGCAATTATCCTCGCAGAACCCATCCTTAAAGAAGAAGCGAACCAAGGCCACAGATCTGAAGAAGGCCGCCAAATCAGCCTCTGCTAAGGTCCAGGTGAACATGGGACCAAACAATAACAATGTGTTGTCTTTTCCATGTGAATGATTGCTATGGTCCCTCAAGACTCACCGAATGGGTCTGTTGCTGTACTCTCAACTCAATTCCCCCTGCATAGTCCAGCTGATCCCTTTCTCTTGCTCCATCAACAGACAAATGCTAGCAAGACAGCCAAAGCAGCAAAGCCTCGCATCAAGAAGGCTGCTGCCACTGTGGCTGACGAAGTGAAGCCTGCCGCAGCAGAGGTCAAGGAGGCAGTGACGGATGTGGCCAAGGCCGCGCAGAAAAAGGGCAAGCCTGCTATCGACAAGGCTTTGAAAAGTGCTAAACCTGCTGCGGAAAAGGCTGTGAAGAAGGCCAAGCCTGCTGTCAACAAGGCCATCAAGAAGGCCAAGCCTGCAGCAGACAAGGCTGTTAAGAAGGCCAAGCCTGCTGTCGACAAGGCCATCAAGGACGCCAAGCCTATTGTGGACGCAGCGGTCAAGAAGGCCAAGCCTGTAGTCAACAAGGCTGCCGCGAAGGCCACGCCTGCAGTGATCAAAGCTGCGAAGACGACGGGAAATGCGGTGGCAGGCGCAGCGAAGTCTGCGGCCCAGCAGGCCGGGGCAGCCGGCGAGAAGCTGAAGACGGCAGCTGCGAGGAAGATCAAGCCTGCCGTGGATGCGGCGGCCAAGACGTCTGCACCCAAGGCCCTGTCTGCAAAGAAGGCTGGAGTGAAGAAGGCCAAGCCGGCTGCACCCAAGAAGGCTGTCGTGAAGCCTGCCTCACACTGACCAGGGAAACGATGCCCCTGACCCCTGCCCCACTGACCTGACGATAGTATCCATGTGTGTGCCACTACCCGGTTCCCTTGATTCCTCATGTAAGGCTGACTCCCCATCATCTTTCGCAGCAGCAACACAACAGGGGGACTAGACAAAGTAGGGAGCGGGGTGGGCAACGTCGCGTATCGCCTCCCACTGCTCGGACGTCAGCTGGTCCCGCACCTCGCTCAGGCCCGCCTCCTGCGATGCGGTGTGTGTGTGTGGTTGAGCATACAAGGCGGCGAGAATGGAAACAGGGGCACCAAAGGCGCAGGCGCCGTCCAATGCACGCGGTCATGCCCCCCATGAGCCCCCCTCTCACACACATTATCCCGGCGCACCTCATGCGTCCTGCGGAACTCGGCGAGCGTCTTCGTCACCGTCACCCTGTTGGTGCACCGAATGGGGGATGAGCTTGCGTCGGTGGGGTCACGGAGTGCGTGGACAGCAGCCTCCACATGGCATGGCCTGCTGGGCAACCTGTTTGTAGCAAATCATGTCTGCCCACCCCTCCACGATCGGTGCAGGGTCCGCAAAAGGTCCCAATACGCTCCCTGGACCCACTCAATCCCCCCAAACAACCATCAGGGACCAAGGCAGTGCGACCCCTCGGTGGTAAAAACGCGCCTGATGGGCGCGGGCTCGCCGGCCAGCCGCACGAGGGCCATGAGCACCCCGGGCAGCCAGGCGGGGACGTCGTAGGGGCTGGAAAGGACAAACGCGCGCAGGCCCTGCACCGCCGCGTGTCGCCGGGCCAGGCTAGGGCCCGGAGCCGCTGCCGCCGTCCCCGGCAGCGGCGGCAGGGGCCCGGGCACCATCCGCTTCCGGCCGCGCTTGGCGGGCAGCAGGCGCTCGACGTCGGCCAGGAAAGCGGCGCGCAGGGACGCCGTCTTGGACTCCTCCATGCCCTTGAGCAGGCCTGTCACGGCGGGCGGGAGGATGATCGAGGGGTGGAGGAGCGCGAGCGTATCCTGACAAACAGCTGCGCAGTGGCGACGACTCCAGGCCCGCTGACAGACCTGGGCCGGGGCCACACCGGTGCCTCGCCGGTGCCTCGCCGAGCGTCAGTCCTCCCCCCCCCCCCCCCTCCTCCTCCCAGCCCAGCGCCCCCTCCCTTTCCGCCCTCGACGTACCCGACAGCGTGGCGGCCGCAAGGTCCCTGACTTCCAGCTTGGCATCTGAAAGGCGTTCGACCACGGCGGTCACGAGCGCGGCGGTGCCGGCGGTGCCCAGCAGGAAGACGTGGCGGAACCAGAAGTACTGCAGGTACACCAGGGCCGACGCACGCTCGGGCCACAGCTCAGCGCCACAGGCCTAAGGAAGGGAAGGAAAGGGGGAACTCTGGAGGTGTACATCAGAATGTATGGGGGCTGGCTGAGAAGGCTGTGTCTAAAGCTCTGGGACTGGGATCTCGCTGGGAATAGTCGCGACGCGGGATCACGGGCGGGACAGTGCGAGACCATTTGGTGATGCCCATGGCCCAACCTGGGCGCTGATCCGGCATCGCCATGACCCTACACCCAAACCCACCCCCCCGACGCACCTGGACCAGGGTGGCGAGCACGCTCTTCACCAGCGCCGGGTGCATCAGGGGCAGGTACTTGAGCAGGGACACGGCCTTGCGCGCCGCCATGGACACCGCCTGGAGCTCGCTGGGGATGAGGCGCTGGATCTTGAGCATGCCCGGCAGCAGGCGCACCAGCCAGGGCAGGAGCACCGTGCCCTCGCCCCCCTGAATGGCCTGCGCCACAAACTCCACGCAGTATGCGACGCGGGTCAGGGCTGCGAGGGGTTGGGAATATTGGGTGTTGAGGGAAAGGCGATGATGTCGGGGCCGGACTTGGTGGCAGGTGTGTCGGGGGGATGGGTACGGTCAAAGTTCCCAGGCGGACTCCCATCTCCACGCTCGGCGCCTGCCGAGGTAGTCCATGATGTCTACTGGCAGGTGCCTACCTCCCCTCCTTCTTCAAAGCCCTTCCCTCTCATCATGCATTACGAGAGCAGGCACCCCAGGGCAGCCTGCACGACAGAAACATGCCACCCACCCTCCCAAACCCCTCATCCACCGAGAGAGCCCCCTCCAGAACCTCTCGCCTTGTTGAAACCTGGGCGACGCGCTCTCCTTTCCCAGCGGCGCGCGTGCCAGGCTGAGGGCCGAGGGCGAGGCCTCCAGGCCCTCGGCACCCTCGTGCTGCATGAGCACCGCGCTCCCCGGGCTGGGCTCCACCTCGGGGTCGAGGTTGTCGCCGGCGCTGCCCGCCGCCGCGCCCAGCTCCGACGGCGTCAGGCCCGGCCCGGCGTGAGGTGGCGGGCTGAGCGAGGCCAGGCTCGCGTCGTCCTCTGCGCCCGCGGCCTCAAAGTCCATACCGTCCTCCCCCGTCGCCTGGGAGGGCGTGGGCGTGCCGGGCTGCTGCTGCACGGGGGCGTCCCGCGCCACCGCAAACATGATGCCCACCGAGGCGTCAAACTGTGTGTGTGGGTGCGAAGAACAAGGTGGATGTCATGGGTGGAGGAGGAGGGCGCGGCGGGCGGCTGTGGGGAAGCGAGCGCACCCTCCCACACACGCACGCACACTGGCGAAGGGTGACCGGCAGCGAGCTCATGCCCGCACCCATGCGCTGCTCTGGGCTCTTCTGCTCCCCCCATGCTCTCCTCTCAAACAGGTCCTTTTCATGGACACCATGCCGTGAATATCCTGGCCCTCCTTTCCTCCCCGCGCGCACCTGTGTCACGAGGTCGTCCAGGCACGCCACCACCAGGGGCTCCAGGGTCAAGCGGCAGCTGCCGTTGGCGCGCGGCGCGGCCGGCGCCTCGCCTGCCCGCGTGTCCAGGCGCGCCACCTCTGCCTGGTCTAGCACGGATGCGGTGAGCAGCGCGCCCAGGCGCGCCGCCTCCACCCTCACCATCTGGCCCGGGTGGGAAACGAGTTCGGGGACCTCCCTCAGCAGCGAGTCCTGCGTAATGGAGGGGCGTGGCTGGCATCTGAAAGCTAAATCAATCGTGCTGCATGCCTGCGACGTGCCCACTTTGGGGCACACCGACAGAACTGGGGGAGCTCTGGTGGGGAAATGGCAGTGATGCCCATGGCTCAGTGCCTGCAACCAAGTCTTACCGTCCCCCCCCTGCCCTATCAAATCCTCCTCCCTCTTGATGGCCGACTCACCCACAGGCTGCAGAGGAAGGCGGGGTGGGAGCGGTTGCCCAGCACCGTGATAATCTCCGTCAGGAGGTAGTTCAGGTACTTAAGCCGGCGGTACTGCGCGCCCGACCCCGCGCCTGCACAGGGGGATCGTGCGTGGGGTGAGGGTCAGCGCATGTCACATGCTGAGATCATGGGCTGGTTCGCCGCATGCACATCTCGCACCGTCTTGACAAGGGTGCCGCAACAGGGGCGCACCCGTCTCACGCACGTTTGGCCCTCCAACCACCCAAATACAATTTCACACCCACAAGCACTCACCCGGGTGGGCAGGGCCGGCCACCAGCGCGCACAGCTGCGCCAGTGCGCCGTGCTTTCCCGCCGTCGCCAGCTCGTAGGCGGCGTACCGCAGCGTCCCGCTGGCCCAGGCGGAGGTCTGCTCCAGCGGCGCCGAGGCCAGGGCTTCTTGCAAGGCGGGGCCCACCCATTCGTCCCAGGACCCTGTGCATCGAGTTGGGACGGGAGGTTTGGGGTGGGGGCCAGTGCCTGGTCCGGGCCAGCCGATCGGCGGTTGGTCAAGCTGGGCCTGTTCTGGCGCACTCAGGCCAAAAGCATGACCAAATTATGAGGCGGGTCGACTGCGGCTGTGTTGCCAGATGCTCGGCGCTCCCAAGTCGTCACAATCTGGTGCGTACCGGGGAGGGCCCCCCCCCACCCTTTAGCAATTCCCTATTTTCCCCCACAACCCTCCCAAACCTCCCCTTTCCCCTCACCGTCCTCGAAGGGGACGCCCGAAGCCACCAGCCCCGCCAGGCACTCGCCCGCCGCGGCGGTGGCCGGCCGGTCGACGTCCTGCGGTCGCGCCAGGGCCTCCAGCACCGCGGCGCGAAGGCCCGGCCCCAGAACCGCCGGAGCGGTGAGCGCCAGGGCCTGCACCAGTGCGGCGTGCTCCGGCTTGAAGGTGCCATCCTGGACGGCAGCCACGGCCTCACGGCCGCATGGCCAGACGGAGAAGCGGAGCACAGAAGAGACCGCCAGCTTCGCCACAATCTCGTCGGTGCTGCCTAGCATGGGCCCCGGGCCGGAGCCGGTGCCATCCCCATCCCCCGCCCCCGTCAGGTTGGCGTGGTTGCCGGCCAGGCACGCGAACAGCGCGGCGGGGGCGCCGCGCTCCATGGCACCGCGCACGGCGGCCGCGGCGGCCGCCTCGGCGGGCGTGACCGGGCGCGCGGCGTCGGGGCGCCACGCCGGCAGCAGGAGCTTCAGCGTGGCCGCCAGCGCCACCTGGCGCAGCAGCAGCAGGTCGCTGGTCAGCAGGCCTGGTGGGGTTTGGGAGGGTGGGGAGGTGGGGTAGAGGGCGCCGACCTTCAGACACGCGAAGGCCAGCCATGGGAATGTTGATTTCTAGAACAAGGCACTCGCACCTGCAAACGTGGTGGCGATGGCCGCCGTGTCATCTGGCGAGGCCGTCTTGAGCAACAAGCAAGTGAACGCGGCGGCCAGGAGGCGGTATCTCCACGGTACCGCAGGCGTGGAGGTGCCACTCAGAGTCCGCAGCAGGTCGCGCACCAGGGCCGACACCTGGGAGGTTGGACGGTGGGGGTCGCTCCTGTCTGGTGAGAGTCCCACGGAGTGAAGATGGGGGCACGATTTGGGCGCCTTTCCCCCCTGCACTTCCTGCCAGGGTGCCTTGCAGGCTGCCAGGGGCCCCTCAGCACCGCGTGAGCCCCTGCGCGGTGTGCCCACCCGTGGACGCCCAGGCCGGGCACCCCATGCCCCTGGTTCCCTCTCCCTCACCGTGTCCGGGTCGTGGTTCACCGGCTTGACGAAGCGGAAGCTCAGGGTGACCGCCGCCCCCAGGAGCTCCGTCTGCGCCCCCGCCCCGGTGTGCACCGCTGCGATGAGAAGGGGGGGGGAGGAGGGTGTTGGCGGCGATGCATCGTCACTGCAGGGTCCGGGGGGGGCTGCGGAAGGTACGGCGCAGGCACGAACCCTCATGTCCGCCACGAGATCGGGCGTGGGGTTGAGGAGGCTTGCTCGGGTCCGTCGGTGCATGCGTTTGTTGCATCAGGGCTTGACGCGGTCAGGATCCAGCGCCGTGCGATTCCCTCCCCACCGTACCCTGATGCCCCCTCCCTCCCTCCAGCCCTCACCCGAGGCCTGCAGCGCTGCTATGAGGGCATGCAGGGTG